GGTTTTATCCAGCACGACCCGCTGGGTGCAATATTCTGAATTTTTTTTTTTTTTTTGGGGGGTGTCTGCTGTGCCCAGGGAAGGAGTTCTGGGCTCTGCTGGGCTCCCCCAGCCTTGTCCTGGTTTTTCCCAGCCCTGGGGAGGAGGAGAGGCAAGGTTGATCAGGAATTTAGGGGGAAAAAAAAAAAAAAAAAAGGCAAAAAATGGGAATGGGGTTGGTCCCTCACCTTTGGAGAGGTCACAGACTCCCTGCTGCATGAATCCCAATTTTCCATCCTCATTCTCTCCATTCCTCTCCTGATTTCTCACCAGCCAGGAGCTCTCATTGAGGCAGGAGACGACAGCAGGGGTTAATTTGAATAATTTGAATTCCTTTTTATTTTTTATTTTATTTTTTTTTTTTTTTTTGCCAGCAACTTTTCCTCTGTGTTATCCTGCAGGATGCCAAGGCTGCAGCTTGGAGAGCTCCCCATTGCCACCCTGCCCACGTTCTCCAGGGAAATTGGCAGCAGGCTGAGGTTTGGCCAGGTTGGAAGGAGCTTTATCCATCCTTCATTTCCACCAGCCTTCAAACGAGACAGGGAAATTTTATTGTGAAGCCAAAGAGAAGCTGAACAGAGAAAAGTGGCTGCTTTACCAAAATGCTACATTTTTTTTTCTCTGAAATTAATTAGCTGAACCCTGACAAAGCCCATTATTAAAAGAGCACCCTTGTCTTTTTAATCATCTGAGCTGTTGCTAAAGCGTGCCCGGAGGCTGGAAATCAAACCCTCTCCTCCAGCTCTTCTGTTCATTTCTATCTGGGGGAAATTCATTAAATAATTACTGGCACCCCTGAACCAATAGCAAAAGGCATCTCCAAAAAAATCCTGTAATGAACCAGCGCTGTCAAATGGCCAAATAAAAGGGAAAATAGGACAGCAAACAACAAAGTCGGGCAGTTGGCTGCAATTAGGAGCTGTGTGATTCACAGCCCAGCACTCGCCCACCGCTGCTCTTTACAGGATGATTCAAGGATTGCATCACTCCAGCTCCCTGGGACTTTCCTTTTGGAGCTGCAAAAAAAAAAAAAAAAAAAAAAAGGATGGAGGCAGCTGGGTTGCTTTAAAGCTGCCAATGTGGCTGAAAATGTGAAAGTGAAATTGTCTTGCTCGTGGCACGGGTCAGACCCTGCCTGGAGTTCTGTCCCTGTCGCTGTGGGGAGGGCAGAGGGGGCACTGGGGGAGTTTGTGGGGGGTGTAAGCTGGGATTTGCAGCATTTATCAGTGGTTTGTCATCAGTCTCGTGTGTTTTCATGATTAATGGAAACACAACTGAGGTGATTCTCGTTGTTGGGCTTGGATGTTTATTGTATTTTACTCATTATTCACATTTCCAAGGTTCCAGCTCCAGAGCAGTGTTTTCCAGGGGGGTCTGTGCTCAAAAACTCCACATTTCTGGGATCCAACAGGAGCTGAGGGTCTGAGCCTGGGAATGGAGGGTTGGGGAGAGAATCCTTGGGGTGAGGAGGCACCAGGGGATCAGAGGGGTGGAGCAGCTCTGGGATTGTTCATCTGGACTGGAGAAATTTGGGGTGACCTCAGTGCCTGAAGGAGGTGGAGGAAAGATGGAGAGGGAGGATTGCCAAGGGATGGAGTGCCAGGATAAGGGGGAATGGATTCAAACTGAAAGAGAGTGGGTTTGGGTGGGATATTGGGAAGAATTCCTCCCTGTGAGGGTGGGGAGGGACTGGGATGGAATTCCCAGATAAGCTGGGACTGCCCCATCCCTGCAAGTGTCCAAGGATGGGGCTTGGAGCCACCTGGGACAGTAGAAAGTGTCCCTGCCATGGCAGGGGTGGCACTGGGTGGGCTTTAAGGTCCATCCCATCCCATCCCATCCCATCCCATCCCATCCCATCCCATCCCATTATTAGGAGTGGGCACTGCAGCATCCAGCTGCACCAATATCCATCCAATACCCATCCAATATCCATCCAATACTCATCAATATCCTTCCAATACTCATCCAAAACTCATCCAATACTCATCAATATCCATCCAATACCCATCCAATATTAATCCAACACTCATCAATATCCATCCAATATTCATCCAAAATCCATCCAATACTCATCAATATCCATCCAATATCCATCCAATATTAATCCAATATCCATCCAATATCCATCCAATATCCATCCAATATCCATCCAATATTCATCCAATATTCATCCAAAATCCATCCAATACTCATCAATATCCATCCAATATCCATCCAATATTAATCCAATATTCATCCAATATCCATCCAATACTCATCCAATACTCATCAATATCCATCCAATATCCATCCAATACCCACCCAATAATCATCAATATCCATCCAATACCTATCCAATATTAATCCAATATTCATCCAATACTCATCCAATATCCATCCAATACCCATCCAATACTCATCAATATCCTTCCAATACTCATCCAATACTCATCAATATCCATCCAGTATTCATCCAATATTAATCCAATATCCATCCAATACCCATCCAATATTAATCCAATATCAATCCAATATCCATCCTATATCTATCCAATATCCATCCAATACTCATCCAAACCTCATCCAATATTCATCAATATCCATCCAATACTCACCCAATATTAATCCAACACTCATCAATATCCATCCCATGTTCATCTCCCTGCCAGCACAAACTGCTGCTGGAGCTCCAGGTGATTCCCATCCATTCAGCACAGTCAGTGACTCGATGCAATGTTCTCCAAACCTGTGCTGAACAGGTTTGGTTGGAGATTGGGTTGGTTTCAGTTAAAGTTGCTGGGGAATTTTTTTTCTTTTTCTTTTTTCTTTTTCCCTGTGGAGCACGGTGTGGTTTTCCAAATGAGGAATTCCCCTTTGAATGGAGCCCTGCAGCTCTGAAGGGCTCACACCTGTGTGATCACAGGTGCCACTGTCACTGTCACCTCCCCAGAGCCACCATGGGCAGAGTGCCAGAGTTCCTGCAGCTCCTGCATCTCCTGCAGCCCCTGCAGTTCCTGCAGCCCGAGCTGGCCCTGCCCAGGAATCCCAGGCTGGAGGAGAGGGGACAGGACAGGTCCAGCAAAGGCAGAGGATCACAAAATCCCTCCCTGCCCGTGCATGGATCCCTAAGGACAATGACAGCTGGACAAGCTGCTGTCCTGGCCACAGCTTCCTGCTTTGCAGAAGGATTCAGAAGACAAAATGCAGGAGATGATGGAGTTGATGTTTCAAATTTCCTCTTGGAAGCACTGGGAAGAAATCCCAAAGACCCCAGTGCAATGCAGTGCTTTGCCTTCCAGATTCCCACTGGGAATTCATCCACCCAAACACTGCCCATCCCTCTGCATCTCACATTTACTGTTAAATAAAAATCTCTACTGTTGACTTTGGGTTTGTTTGCACCTTAATTAGGGCAGAGGAATAATTTTAATGACCAGATTTTAACGGTGGGGACCCAGAGCTTGCCTGGGCATCCAGATGGGAGCTGTGGGCATGGAGATGTTCCTGCTCTCCCATCCCTGTGCCTGGGAGAAGCTGGACAAATAAAAGTGACCTGGAGATCCAGAGTTGCATCTGGTTGGGCTCAAAGACATGAAATCCATTTTGGGATCTCTCTCAGCGGTGTCACTCTGGTGCCAGGATTTTCAGGGCACCTGTCAGGGATATTTTGGGAAGCAGAGGCTCCTGCCTGGTGCCCCTGTGCACAAATTCCGTGTCAAACGAGCTCTGCTGGAGCAGGACTCGGGGGAAGTTGTGGTTTGGTGGGAAGCCAGGATGAGAAAGTGGCTCCTGACCCCCCTGTCACACACACAGGGCCAGCCTAGGTTGGGGTTTGGATTCTTCTCTGCAATTTCCACCTGCAGGTTTTGGCTCTGGTGAGGTCACCTCGAGCTTTGCCCCCTCCCAGGGGACAGGGAGAGGCTTTTCCCAGGGATCTGGGAAGGGAAACGAGTTCAACATCTGCACGTGGAGCCTTCCCCTCCCACACTGGAACAGCTCCTGCCATCCTGGGGGCTTTTAGTGCTGGGCAAGGCACAAAGTGCCCACAAAGGTTCTGACCCTGGAGTTTCAGGGTTGGTTTTGACTTCAAACCCACAGAGAGAATGAAAGCCCTAAATCTGCATAGCCTGGGGGTCCAGCCTGGCCCTGTCCCAGGAAAAGCTTTGCCCACCCACAAGAGATATTTTTGGGATGATCTCATCTTTTATCTCCTTAATTAGGTCACAATTCTCCTGATTTTTGAGTGGCAGGACCTAAAGTGACCTTCCCACGGGCAAAGCTGGGCTTTGGCTCCACGCAGAGCAGAGATTTGCTTGGATCCTGCTTTGCTTGATCCAGGAAAATGGGGGGGGGGGAAAATGCATCTATCAGAGGGACAGAGAGTGTTTGAAACCAGAAAATACAACAAGAAATGCAACAGCAGGAGGAATCCTTGCAGCTGAAGGATCCTGCTGTGATTTAGGTGTGGAATGAACTCCTGGGGAAGGGATGTGGGATGAGCAAATCTGGCAGCCAGGAACACATTTGCAAGATTATGTTGCAATTAATGTGATTTAATGTCAGAGATTCTTTATTGCTCTTGTCCCACTCTCTCCCTGCAAGACTTCATCAGATTAAAACTTTCTCTTTAGGAAGCACAGAATTATGGGATGGTTTGGGTTGGAAAGGATTTTAAAAATCATCTCATTCCATGGGCAGGGAAACTTTTCACTGAGCCAGGTTGTTCCAAACCCTGTCCAGCCTGGCCTTGGGCACTCAGGGATTCCCTGGCATGGGAGGAATGACCACATCCATGAATTTAATTTATTTATAGGAGGCTTGAAAGAACTGTTCTTCAGTCCCAAATGCAGCAAATGATCTTCTTGCTTATAAATTCTCTGCATCAGCAGAAGTATTTGATGTTGCTGGAGGTTGCATTAATCACTAAAAGACAGGAATCCATCTCCCACTGGGATTTATCCAGGGAATGCAGACACAACTCAGCTCTCTGGAAGGAAATTTCCTACTCAGAATTCCTGGTGATTTTCCATGTTTTTGGTTCAAAACCACTGAGGATGGAGGGAAATGGGGAAAACAGAAATGGAGGGAAATGGGAAAACAGGGATGGAGGGAATGGAGAAAACAGGGATGGAGGGAAATGGAGAGAACAGAAATGGAAGGAAATGGGGAAAACAGAAATGGAGGGAAATGGGAAAACAGAAATGGAAGGAAATGGGAAAACAGAAATGGAGGGAATGGGGGAAACAGGGAAGGAGGGAAAGGGGGAAACAGGGATGGAGGGAATGGGGAAAACAGGGATGGAGGGAAATGGAGAGAACAGGGATGGAGGGAAATGGGAGAGAACAGGGACCTCCAGGGAAGGATTTTTTTCCCTAATATTTCCCTTATTTATTTTTCCCACTAATATTTAACTTTAAATCCCCCAAGGATTCCAGCTTGGCTCTTCATTTCCCCAGCTGGGGCAGAGTTTGTGGCTGAGCAAATCCCAGCCCTCTCCTGTGCATTTGGGGCTCCTTAATCCTCCCTGCCCTCAAGCAGCTCCAAAAATAGCTCTGAGCTCCCTCCTAGGGCAGCCTCAACAACAGGTGATGCCCTGGACCCCACTGGAATTTCTCCTGCTCTTATCCTGCCAGGAGCACCTGGGATGCAGCAGAGTTTGGGGTGGAGGTGGCAGGATGGGAGAGAAAGGAGGAGTTTTTCCTCTTCCACCTGTTCTGGCAAAATCCTGAAAAAGCCCTGAAAAAATCCTGGTAAAATCCTGAAAAAATCCTGGTAAAATTCTGGCAAAATCCTGGCAAGATCCTGACAAAATCCTGAAAAAATCCTGGCAAAATCCTGAAAAAATCCTGGCAAAATCCTGAAAAAATCCTGGCAAGATCCTGGCAAAATCATGGCAAGATCCTGAAAAAATCCTGGTAAAATTCTGGCAAAATCCTGTCAAGATCCTGATAAAATCCTGGTAAGATCCTGGCAAAATCCTGAAAAAATCCTGGTAAGATCCTGGCAAAATCCCTGCAAGGTCCTGGCAAAATCTTGACAAAATCCTGAAAAAATCCTGGCAAGGTCCTGACAAAATCCTGACCATATCTGTCCTATTCCTCACTTTCCAAGGGATGTGGGATGTCTGTGGCTCAATGCTAACTGGGATTCTCTGCCTGTTTACCAAAACCATCACAAGTTTGCACAAGGACCAGCAGGAAATCCATCCATCCACAGGATGGAGAGCTGCAAGGGCCACTCCACTCTGCTTGGCCACAATTTGGGGCTCAAAGAGTCTGATTGCATCAAATCCATCTTTTTTTCCTCAAAAAAAAAAAAAAATTCCATTTCTGATTACACTTTCTTGGGGGAGGCTTCTGAAACACGGAAAATTTAATTTTGGATTGACGCATTCACTTCGCTTTGGTTTGGATGATAAAAGAAAAGTGGAAAATTTAATTTCCTCTTTGTTTGCTCTGTCCTGGAATGCACTTGTCGAGATGATGCTGAGGGTGTTCTCATCTCTCCCCCACCCCCTTCCTTTGCTGTTTAAAACCCATCAAAATCACAGAACTTCTCCAGCTGGAGGGTGGAAGGAAGTGGAACAATCCCGGGGTCAGTGCACTCCCCTCGCTGCTGGAAAGGGGAACAAAGCCACCACGGACTTGTGACTTCCTTGTTTTCTAGAAAGAAACATCTGAAATGATTTCCCAAAGCCGACAAACAAAACACAGCCCTTCCCCCAGATCTGCTTGCCGTGGAATTCCTTTCTGGCTCCACAATTTTCCTGATTTTTCATGCAAGGTTCCAATGTCCAGCCTGGCCTTGGGCACTGCCAGGGATCCAGGGGCAGCCACGGCTGCTCTGGGCACCCTGTGCCAGCCCTGCCCACCCTCACAGGGAACAATTCCTGCCCAAAATCCAGCCTCAATTCCCTCTTTTTCTTCAACCCATCCCTCCTTGCCTGTCCCTGATGAAGAATCATCCTCTGCTCCTCATTTCCTGATGTTTCCCTGCCCTCTGCTGAACCAGGCATCCCTTTGGATGCTGTTGCTGCCTCTGCCTGTTTTTATTCTCCTTTTTTTTTTTTTTTTTGGCCATTTAGATCCTGATCTTCCAGGACCAGCCTTTCCCACGTGGCTTCTGTGACACCTGGAACCACCTGGACTCCCTGCTGGGTTGCCTGGTTGCCACTGCAAACACGGCTCTGTTGTCACCTGCATCCCTGGACACCCCTGCAGCCTTTCCATTGGCTTGGGCAGCCTTGGAAGGAAGATTAACTCCCAAAAAAACAATAAATAACTCAGTGCAGGCTGCAGCCAGAGCCTGCAGTGAGTAGTTAATGGTTAACAGAGCTGGCTAATTCCCTGCTTTTCCAGTTTCCAGCCACAACAAGCTCTGGATGTAGCCTGGATGAACCAACCTGGTGTTTATAATGTCCACATTTATATTGGTGGGATTTTTTTGGGCTTTAATGAACATAATTTCCATTTTTGTAATGCCCCTTCTTCCTGTTTCTCGTTTCCTGTTGTCAGGTGACAGCCTGGGCTGGGAATATTCTCATTTTCATCAGGAATTTCACTGACACAAAAAGCAAAGCAGAGCAGCCCCCATCACATCCTCAACTGACAAAATCTCAGCCTCAGGATTGTGAAATCCAGAAGTTCCTACCAATTTCCAAGGAGACCAATCCAGAGCATCTGGGAATTCAACATTCCCCTACAGCAATCAGAATGATGGTAAATCACCAGCTTGGAATGGTTCAATCCAACATTTGCTGGGATTTTTGCCTTTTGAATTGAAATAAATGTGGCTGTGAAACCCAGAATTCACCTTGTGCCCTGGGAAGGAAAAGCCTTGGGAATGATATCGGGGTCAAGACAGCAGGGAAAGGAAAAAAAACCTCCAGAAGGGAAATCAGAGAAGTAGGAAAAAGACACAGCTAGAAGGGAAATAAGGAAAGCAAGGAAAAGGACATTTCCACAAGGGAAATAAGGGAAACAGGGAAAGGGACCCAACTTTCAGAAGGGAATTTAGGAAAGCAGGGAAAAGACACAGCCAGAAGGGAAATAAGGAAGACAAGGAAAAGGACACAACCTCCAGAAAGGGAATAAGGAAAGCAAAGAAAGGGACACATCCAGAAGGAAAATACAAAAGGCAAGGAAAAGGAAACAACCTCCAAAAGGGAAATAAGGAAAGCAGGGAAAGCACCTGCTGCTTATTTCAAAGCAGGATTTTAGAAGGATGCCAAGAGATGAAGGATCATCCCAAAGCGATGTGGCTGTGCCTGGGGTGACCCTGCCTCTTTTTGAGCCCCTCAATCCTCCTCCATCCTCCAGCAAAATCCGTGCCCTGAGGCCACAGGGCACCACAGGAAAGCGTCCCCAGGGATGGCTGGGGCTGGCAGCCCTGCTGACAAAATGACCTTAAAAATCGCAGCAGTCACAAGAGAAAGCCCTGATTTCTCTGCAGCCTCTGCTGTTTGCCAGGTAGCCCCACATCTGGCCAGATGTGAGGTTTTTTTTAGGATCCTCTTCCCATCTGGAAGCACCAGAGCCTGGGGGAACAAACAGGGCAGAAAACAAAGAGCGAGGAGTGGGTGTGTGGGTGGAAAAGGGGTCGTTGGATTCCTGGAAAGATTAAAGTGCCTCGTAAAAAAAAACCAAAAAAACAAAAAAAAACAAAAACTCATTGAGGCAGCAAACGCTGCCATCTCGGCTTAACAATGCTCTTCACCCGGGGTTTAAAAAAGCTGCTCTCAGGAGGTTTAAAGCTGCCATAACTCATGTTCATACCTGGGCCCATGAAAGGATGAAAAAAAGGGTTTATTGCAGCCGTGTCTCCTCACAGCCCTTTGCTCTCCAGCTTTAGGGGGGTCTGGAGGATGTTTGGACTCTTGCTGGGGTGTGTGGAGTTGTGTGGGATCCTGGCAAACAAGGTCACACTTATCCAGTCCCCAAAGCCAGGGCTGAGCCCAGAGCTCTGTAAATCCAGACACAAAAGCTGGGAGCTGGAGAAAACCCTGCAGGAAAATGCATCCTGGAGAAAAAAATGCATGCTGGAGAAAAAATACATCCTGGGGGAAAATCCATCCTGGGGGAAAATCCATCCTGGAGAAAAATCCTTCCTGCAGGAAAATCCCTTCTGGAGGAAAATCCATCCTGCAAGAAAATCCATCCTGGAGAAAAATGCATCCTGGAGAAAAAATGCATCCTGGAGGAAAATCCATCCTGCAGGAAAATCCACCCTGGAGGAAAATCCTTCCTGCAGGAAAATCCCTCCTGGAGGCCTGCAGAGGTTGGGCAGGGCTCTGATGTGGGTGGGTGGCACTGAAGGTGACTTTGGGAATGTCCCCCAGCAGGGGGTGACTCCACAGGGATCTGTGCAGTTTTTTAGGCTGTCCTGTGATAAAATTCCCAAATTCTCCTGGCAGTGCTGCCTGCAGCATCTTTATGGATTAGGGCTCTCCAGGATCTCCAGTGGTTTTAATTGGGATGATTAATTGTCTCGTCATTAATTCAGTTGGAAATGTGTCATTTTTGATTCTTTCCTTGCTTGGGGACTGATTTTTTCCCCTGCCAAGCTGTCACTGCCACCCTGCCCCAGGGCACAGCAGGGGTGGGGAGGAGGAATTAAGGAGATCTGAGATTTGGGTGAAGAGCCAGCCCAGGGGACAGCACAGTGCCACAAAGGGGACTCCAGATTCTTCTGCTGTCATCCCGTGAAACCCTTGGGATGCTCAGCACCTTCTTCATCACCCTCCACCCTCTTTTTTCCTCCTCCTTGGTTTGTTTGACGCCTCCTCCTCCTGCAGCCCCACACCCCCTGCCCTGCTGCTGCTCAGCTCCACTCCAGCCTGGTCCCACAGCCCATTCCCACCTGCAGTTATTGCACCCAGCACCAGGGATCCCTGGAGAGGCTTTGCCTCCTGCTCCAGTAAATTCAGTGTTTCAATCCCCCTGGTTATCCTGAGTGCACCCAGCATCTCCCTCTGGTGCCCTTCCCAAACTGCATTTCTGGGTTCCCACCGTTGGGACCCTGAAACCTGAGAGTTTTGAACTCTCTGTGCTTTTCTGACCCTCACAAGAACACTGCTTTTGACTTGAGGCCTTGCAGAAGGTTTCTAAATCGGAGTGATGGAGTTGGGATCACTGGTGTGTGCTTAGAACAGAAGTGTGTGATTTCACAGGGTGTGAAGGGTTTGGAATTTAGGATTTTAGAATATACAATATATCTTTATAATAGATATGGGACAAGATGGACATTCTGGGGTGATGTCTTTTTCTCCTTTTTGTTTCTTCTTCTTAGTTTCAGGTGGCAGTTTTTGGTTGGACAGAAATCACAGTGCAGGTCACAGGTGTTTGGTCATTGGGTCAAAAGTATAAATAATATAGATGTTAGCTTTTAATTTGATAGTTAGGCTTTAAAAGACCTTGTAACCAGCTAAATTCACCCAACATTTTCTCACTTTTAGCTTGTTAGCTCCAAGTGCTGCAGAACTCTCTGTGCTATAGATAAGAATTAATAAACTGAGTCCAAACTCAAAAATCTGTCTCGGTGCATTCAATCCCAACTCTGACCGAAGGCAGAATAAAAAATAAAGTTACCACTAATGCCCACCAGGCATGTGCAGCCCCTCCCTCTGGCGAAAAAGAAGAGTGGGAAGAGCAGGACTTTCCATTCTTTATTTGTCAGAACCGTTTGTTCAGTGACAAGGACAGAGCCGGGTCCCTCCCCGTGGTGCTGCAGTGCACACAGAGCTCCCCAAGCCCGGCTCCCCCAGTGCTCCCTGCAGCTCCAGCCCGTGGATGTGACCTCCAGGCAGGACAGAGCACAGTTCCCCATTCCCCACATGATCCCAGTACATCTCCACAGGGAATTCTGGAGCATCCCCACCGCTGGAGCTTAGGCTGGGCTTTGCTGAGCTGGACTTGGCTGTGCACTTGTCCCTGCCGGGGTTTGCTCACAGAATCCCAGAATGGGTCGGGAGGGACACTAAAGGTCATTAAATTCCCACCCCAGCCATGGGCAGGGACACCTTCCACCATCCCAGGGTGCTCCAAGCCCTGTCCAACCTGGCCTTGGACACTGACAGGGATCCAGGGGCAGCCACAACTTCTTTGGGAAATCCATTCCAGAGCCTCACCACTCTCCCAGGGAAGGATTTCTTCCTGATATTTTTGGGATATGACTGCTCAGTGCCAACACTGATCCATTTTGGATCCCTGACAGGCTCATCAATGACCAGGCTCGTCCTGTGCTGAGCCAGGCAAGGACAGGGAGGCTCTTGGAAGGGGAAGAGGAGCCCCTGGTCAAGATGAACAGCAGGTGCTTGAGGAGCAGCACGAGGGGAAAAAAAAAAAAAAAAAAAATTGGAATGAAATTTCCAGGAGAAAATGCAGGTGGGAAACTCCGGAGCCACCTCCCAGGGGACAGCACAATAACCCCGGGGCCAGGGAGCTTAAAACCAGATCCAGCAGTGACTGGAATCCATGGGACAAGCCTGAAGGGTCGCAGGCAGATGGATCTGGGCTGGAAAGCGATTGCAGCAAGTTCAGCCCCTCCTCTCCCTGAACCTGCTCTTGCACATCAGGGATTGGGGACAAAGAGAACTGCCACAACCCCGTGCATGTCCCCAACCTGCAAACAATCCCAAGGACAGAACAAAGGGCTGGAGCCAGCCAGGAATCTTCTAAGGAACGGGCATTGGTGGGAATATCCCCCTTCAGCAGGTTTGGACAAAGCCTTGGTGGGGGTCTTCAGAGGGAAGGGAGAACTCAGGGTGCCCTAGG